AGTTATACATATATTGGGCATAGACGATGCTGTATTCGTATTAATTGGTGGTAAGTTACTTGTGTTCTCTATTGTGAACACCCTTGAAAAATAATCATTAAACTATAATCACTAAATTTACTATATCAATTTCATTATCAATTATAAGGCCCTTACTATCCTGCAAATTAGTGATTTCAGCTTTTAGTGCTCTCTTGGAGTTAAAATATTGGAAGAAACCTTTACTGTCATGCTTAGCCTCCAATGCAATTTTTCTTTCTACATCCCTCTTTGATAGCCTAATAGTGTATATGTATATATGTATGTATATATGTGTGTGTGTATGTATATATGTGTGTGTATATATTTATATATATATAAAGGGCTGTCAAAATTAACGGGTTAATGCGGATTAATCCATCATCATGATTAATCTGATAAAAATTTTTAACGCAATTAATCCATCTGCAGCGCAGAATGACTAAAAATTCCTGAAATGTCTCTGTCAACCCATTTCGGGCAATGCACTACTTCTCATTTGTGGCTCATTAAATTGGTCGCACATACTATACCGTCCAGCTTATCTGTGGACATGTTGCTACAGAGTTTTATACAAAAAAAAGTGATATTGCTAACAATGGCGATTAACGGGGCTAGAATTGGATTTCATAATTAGTCGGATTATTTGTCGGATTTATGGTAGTTCGGGCTAATTGTAAGTGAACAAAGATAATATATATACACACACTGTATAAAATTTGTGTTTGTGTGTGCTGTTTTTGGGGTAGTACGTGTACATTTGCTCAAAACAAGCACCATAATTTAACCTTACAACACATACAGATTATGTGTAAAATTAGTAAAAGTTCTTCTGCTCTCCCAAAGGGTACTGACATCTAGTTGGACAGTTCCCAAACCTCTCCTCAGGGGCACCCTAGCCATTCCATGTATTTATTACATTTAGCCATGAACTCACTGATTTAATTAACGTAAATAGTAAAATAAAAATACTAATAAAAAATAGGATATTGGTTAGTAATACGAAGTGTGTTTGTGGTTGTGTCATAGTTGCGGTGAAAAAGAGGATGTGAACTTGCAGTTTCATTATCAATTTAAGGAAGTAGAATAGAAATGGAATAGAATGCAAATTTACTTATACATATAGTGTAGGTGCAACTTTTAACAATACAGTGTAATATTTAAATATGAATTACATTTGAACATGTGGATGTACAAAGCATACAATGTAATTACAACAAAAATGTATTATCTAGAATGAAATATTGCAAGATATCATTTACGGAACAAATAATTAAACTGACCTTTTATTTACCATGGTGGAAGAGCACTTGATTTCTTGCTCTTCCTTGTCCCATAATCTGCAAAATGGAACATGACAATCTGAAAGCAGACTCACCCACAAGATGGAAAATTAGCTAAGGAAACCTGCGAAGCTGTCCATCCTTGCCCATTTTGGTGAGCCACCTCCTGCAACCACACCTGGAAATCACAGAGCTGTATGTAAGCAATGCAATGCAGCTGTCTGAGGGTCCACCAAGGACACTTCAAATTTCAAAGGACATCTACAGGTAAGTTAACAGACTTATTATTTTCTGATAAAGTCAGTATTTAGTGTCAGCGCTCACTTTACTGCAGGTATCTGATATCATAGGCCTGCAGTAGCCGCTTGTCTTAATATACATGGTGATTCTGTATATTTTCTGCTAAAAGCTGTTCATTTCTATTAACGTAACTTTTTGCCAGTAATGGATGTGTTGCTTTGTGTTTTCCTCATACTGTGTGTTGCATCAGGTTTTATTCTTTTGTTTTTATGCTTTCCGTTTAAGACTAATTTTGGTAGAAATAAAGAAATGTTTATTATTCCTATACAATAAAACATATCTACTGTCTTAAGTGTATAGCATGACAGTATACCGTGATCAAAAAAAAAAAAAATCTGAAATAGCTCAGTACTGTTCTCTATCGCGGTTTAAATAATGGCGTTAATATCCGTGACACATTTAAATATGCTAATAGTGTATTATTACGCACGAAATATCCCTTACATTCAATGTTCCCAATTCACATTAATTCTCATTTTGCTGCTAACACTGACAATGTGCTGTATTTTTTCATGACGCATGCGCAGACGCAACACTTCCGGCCACAGTGAACAACATCCTTTGTTTAGCTGGCTAGTTAGTTATACAGTCTGGAGATGTCCGCGTGGTCTGAGGAAATGGAGGGTGCAAGTAACGTTAAAGGCGAATTGCACCCTCCACAAAAAAGAAAAAGAATCCTTTCAGCCGTGTGGACACATTTTGGATTCAGAAAAAAAGACGGGGCTATTGTTAATATTGACTCGCCAATTTGTAGAGTATGTGGTAAAGCCGTACCGGCCAAAACAGGCAACACATCAAACCTTATGCACCATCTGAGGAAACACCATCCTTCCGTTTACGTCGCAATGCAAAAAGTAAGTAAAATAACCTGGGGTTGCTGGCTAAAAGGTTGGTTTAAGCGGGCAGTTTCACTTTTTTAACGATATATGGGTAATCTGCTAAATTGAGGGTTAAATCTCGCTGACTTGGGGGGCGGTAAGTTTTTCGCCAGGTTTTGTCCCAGCAGACTTTATCTCCGGTAATTGTTTTTTTAATTTTATTGGCGGCCCGGATTTAATAATGATTAAAAAGAATACGTCGCGCACCAACTAGAACAGTCTCTGGCCCGGTACTTGTTTACGGGATTATTCCGTAGTAAAAAGTAAAACACTGTGTCCCGTTTTGAAACAAAACGCAACGCAATTTATCTGGGGTTTTTGTAACGGGACTCGAGTACAGTTTGATCCGGGTCGCGCAATCGTCCGAACCCCTAGTCGAAAATGTTTAGTGTCCGGGACGCGGAGGTTGGAGGCGTTGCGGCCTCCCCTATTTCTTCCGATTGTAAGTGGAGAGGGAGCCTTTTTTGTTAAAGCGATGGATAGGCTAATATTCACACGAGGTTTGCGACTGTCGCTCGCTGTGCTAGTTAAAAGGCGATGTGTTTCATGCGCTTATAATTTGTGAGAATTAAATTAGACAATGAGTGTTTGTGTTGAGTGGTAAGTAGGGCAGTGTGTGTAAAACATGATGTATGGTAAAATCCCGATATAGGTGTACAATGCAGTGAATTTCATTCTTACAACTGCTGTCATTCTCAGAGCGCATGCGTGGACGCATCACTTCCGGTCACGGGATAACATTGTTTCGCTAGCTAGCTATACAGTCTAAAGATGTCGGCGTGGTCTGAGGGGATGGCGGATGCAAGTAACGTTTTCGACGAATTACATCCTCCTCAAAAAAGGACCCAGTCAGCCGTTTGGACATACTTTGGATTTAAAAAAGAAGACGGAGCTATTGTCAACATTGACGCGCCGATTTGTAGAACGTGTGGTAAAGCCATACCGTCCAAAGCAAGCAGCACATCTAACCTTATACACCATCTGAAAAAGCACCACCCGTCACGTTACACCGAAATGCAAAACGTAAGTTAAAAGCACTGGGGCTACTGGCTAGGAAGGATTAAGCGGGAAACTACACTTTTATGATGTACGGATAATATCCACTGAATAGAGGGTCGTAAAATTCATAGTTCAGTGCAGCAAACTTTAGCTCCGCTTAGTTATTTTTAACCCTGTGTGGGAACCGATCAATTAATCGGCGGCTGGGTTTAAGTGATTTTAAAAACCGTCGCGCGTGCCCGTACTTTGAGAAGTTACTAACCCTTCCCGTGCTTTACATGATTGTGTTGTATTGAGAAACAAAACGCTGTGTCCCGTTTTGAACCAATACGCCACAGAATTTTTCTGGTACTTTGGTTTCCCGCCTACGTTCCAGCGCCTGGTTCAGACTGTACCATCTCGACCGGGAACTGTAGTTACTAGTCACATGTGTCAATTTCCCGCCGCACAACAGTAACCGTTACCTTTTATACCAAATAACCTTTTTTCATGCCATATGCTTAAGCTTCTCCCGTAGTTTCACACGAAACTACATCGCCAGAATATGGAGGGCGAACAAGCTGTCTTGTTACTTTTAATTGGGGATCAATCGCATGTTTGTAATTACTAATTAAATTTAGTTTGTAGTTTCTGGGAGACAGTTCCTGAACAGTTTTGTCCCTAGTCCAGTGGTTTGACTCCACCACTGGATTGCTGTGCTGTTTTTTTTCCTTGCCACGACTGCCCTACTGTTTGTATTCATTGTGTGATTTATATTCATCTGGAACTACTTGTGCTCTTTATAATTGTAAAAATTTACTAAATGTTTTTTTCTTTTTCAGAAGAAGCATCCTGAACTTCTGGTGAAGCCTGAACCCAGTGATGACCCGGTCACCCCTGACCAGACTGTTATAGATACTGCACCTGCTGAGCCCGAGGCTAGCTCTAAATGGGTTGTGGTTCCAATACCAACGGATAGTCGTCAAGTTACTCTAACAGACAGCATTGTGACATATATTGTAAATGGACTCCTTCCCCTGTCTACAGTAGAAAATAAGGATTTCATCGCAATTTTGCGATTGGCTGAACCCTTCTTCACAATGCCCTCTCGGAGAGACCTCACCCAGAACCTTATTCCTCACCGCACTACTGCTGTTAAAAATCATTTAATTAATCAGATGCAGAGCGCTTCTGATATTTGCCTGACTGTGGATCTATGGTCAAACCGATCCATGAGGTCGTTTTTTGCCATGACTGGTCATTTCATTTCAGATTTTGAATTACAGAATGTAATGTTGAGTTGCCGGCGATTCAAGGGGAGGCATTCAGCAGATAACATTTGTGGAGTATACGAGGATATTTTATCAACTTACGGCATTAAAAACAAAGTATCATTCATCGTGACTGATAATGCATCTAACATTTTAAAGGCATTCACCCTCTTCCAACCCATGGCTGCTGTTGATGATGATGAGGAGGTGGAACAGGATGCCGTATCTGATCTTCATGTGGTGAACATTGATGAGGAGATGATGTACTTCCCTCCTGAAAGAAGTCCATGCTTTATCCACACTTTACAACTTGTGGTTCGTGATGCCCTGGATCAAGTTGGTTCTGTAAAAAACTTGCTAGATAAAATCCAAAGACTTGTCTCTTTCTGCCATAAGTCTCCAGTGGCTACTGAGATTTTAGGAGATTACAAACTTTGTCATTCAAATGTCGCCCGCTGGAATAGCCAGTTGAAGATGCTGAAGTCAGTCCTTAACATTCCCAGTGGTGTCCTTGCTCAGCTGGAGTGCCCTGTTCAGCTGTCACCCACTGAATTTAAGATTATGCAGGAACTATGTATGGTCCTGGAGCCCTTTGAGGAGGTGACAGACAGGTGTCAGGCAGAGAAAGCTGTAACTTCCAGCTTGGTGATTCCGTGTGTTCGAGCCTTAAGGCATGCAGTCAAAAACATGAAGATGACTGGCAGCAACAACCTGGTGTCCATTCTCCAGAACTCTGTTGAGAAACATCTTTCAAAATTTGAAGACATGCAATGCTTTCAGGTGGCTTCCACTCTTGACCCAAGATTCAAACTGGATTGGTGTATTGGTGAAGAGGTTACCACCATGAAGGATCTTCTCATGGGAAAAGTTGAGTGTCTTTCACCAAAACTCAGTGCTGAGTATAATGACTGCAGTGAACAACCAAAGAAACGTCCTAAACTCTTTTCCTATATGGAGAGTCAGACTAGTCCATCTGCTGTCGCCAGAACTTCACAAGATGTCATTGTATACCTGAGTCAACCATGTTTAGCAGAGGATGTTGACCCTTTGGCCTACTGGAAAGGAAACCAAACCAGCTTTCCTGAGCTAGCTCGACTTGCCTGCAGATACCTTGCTATACCAGCTTCCTCTGCACCTGTTGAGAGAATCTTCAGTTTAGCTGGAAATATTTTCAGGCCGGGACAATGCCATGTAAATGATAAAACGTTTGAAGATCTTTTGATTGTTAAGTGTAATAACATTGAACAATGAGTTGCATTGCAATAAAGCATAATTGCATTTGCTGTGATGTTTTGCTTTTTGTTAGTACTAAGGTGGAACTGAAAGTCAACTTAATATACATTTGGTGGGTGATCAAAAATATAGCCCTATAAGACAGTAAAACCTAAAAGAAAAGCGTACTTCTGGGTGTTGTCTTTTGGGGTGGTGAAAAGGGTGTGTCGCGCTGCCATCCAACATTTGATCCTTATCTTTTCGAATAGCTGCTGTTTGTACCAATGTCGAATTCTTCTTAGGGACCAGCTCCTCCATGTTGTCCATACTGCTGTGTTGTCAAATACAGAATGTGTTGCATGTTGTGCATTGCATGTTGGGATGAGGGTGTGAAAGGAGGAGGATGATATCCAGAGCTCTACTTCCGACATGTCTGGCAAAACAACTTTTGATGTGTGTATGTGCCATAGAACGACAGCTGATAGACCTGTGCGCTGTAAAACATTACTAATATTTTCGTTGTTCACAATCTAGTATTGTCAATTAACTCCTTGTCATATGCACAAAATAAACACCTTAGTGCAGTGAACTCCTGCATATACAGACATGGTTGCACTTTAACACTACCATTATAAAGGGTTTATGAATGTCCTTGTAGCTGCTAAATAATAATAATAATAATCAATACTTTATTGATCCCCGTGGGGAAATTGTCTTTGCGCCTCCGTCAACTTGCTCTTTTGTAGAGAAAGCTGTCAGGGTAGCCACCTGCTGAGGAGCCCAGGGAGTTGGGGGTTAAGGGCCTTGCTCAAGGATGCTGATGCTGGGTTTGAGGTTGAGCCCACTGAGCCACACGCTGCCCCCTAAAAATACATTCATTACAGGGCTTGTCCTTTGAAAAATGCAGGCGCACACAAATTTGTGCACCTAAAAAGTGCTAGGTGCACAATTTTTTTTGTGCACCCTAAAAGTGCTAGGTGCACAATTTTACCTTTTTTGTGCGCCTAAAATGTGGTTGGACTTTGGTGCAATGGGTCAAAATGTACTTGTATTTGTACATATTTCTGTTTTTTGTAGTCCTAGTGTTAGTTG